ATTTCTTCTTCAGTCAGTGCCGTGCCCGCAGGTTTCGGCACAGCAAATAAACTGAAGTATGATGTTGAAGTTGTGCCGAACAGAAAATAAGAAAAGCTTTTCACTTGTTTGATTTGCCTCCGATGCCTGTAGGGTAAACGTGAAGATTCAGTCCATCCGATTTTTCTTTAAAAAAACTGTTTAAATTAAGCAGTTTCAGCGAAAAAAATCCTGGATGGCAAATAAATTTAGCCAAAGTTTGAGGAAATTCCCATTATCAGGCTAAATTAAGAGCGGTGTTGCCAAACTTCTCAGACCGTTTTAAGTTCATTAAAATTGTTTCCTTCGATCCCAAACATGTAGATTCATTGAATTTGGGTCGGTTTAGATTATTCTTTCAGTTTAGTAATTTTTACTTTTTGCATATTTTTTGTTTCATTAAGAAAATCACTTGACCATGCTAACGCAAACAAACCAAAAAATCACCGCAAGGAAAGCAACTAAAAAATTCGTGGCAACACCGCATTTTGTTTGGGTTTCCCAAAAAGCCAATTAATCCGCCATCTGCCTATCGACGCGCTGGATAACCTCAATCAATGGGCGACGCTACAAAAGATGCTCAAACCTTTGCGAAAAACACAATTATTACGCATCTTAGCGACAATTTTGCATGTGGGATTATGAATTGTTGATCCCTGAAACACGTTTTGACAGCAAACAGTGTCATTTTGCTCAAAACTGCTTAATTTAAAGTGTTCCTTCAGGTTAAACAAGGAAAACTAAAATTTCTGAGAGACTCAAACGACACTGCCTAATGTCAACAACCAAATGTCACTCGTTAACTGTAGTTTACAGTTCAGCCGCCAGGGACTTTTGAGTTTACGACTAGTTAAATTTCCCACAAACTGTGTGATCGGTATACATCTGTCTCGCTCTTCCCCATTGACGACACCCGCTTGAAGCTAAAGTGTTCACAAATTGAAGTATCAATTCCAGTCCCGATCTACAGATGCAGCCGCCAAACTTCCAAGTTTGTTCCGCATCCGGATCGAACAAAGTAACGTAGGCCGGGAACAATCCACTTTAATGATTCCGTATGTGTCGCCTTCGCTCACGCAAGCCGCGTAAATTTTACCAATTTATACCGGCCGTTAATCGCCCATTCAAATTACTGGAAATTATTTCCAGCTGGATATGGGTGCGTGTCACATTGGGAGCCAAAATTGCTTTCCCAATTTTCTTGGTTGTTTAGGAGCGCTCGCTTCTGGAGTCAAACCCATGAAACCGTCTACAACAACTGCCGCAATGTTTTCCATGTTTTCTTCACTCTTTTCATTTTGTACAGGGTCTGATCAATACAAAAGTTGTGAAATAGGCACGTGCAGATTTGGAAATGCGCCAACCTCAGGCACCCCCAGGACCGGTTTCGAGCCTATTAGCTCTCATCAGCTGGGTTCAGCCTGAAATTAGCGATTCCGAAACCTGCACGGTTTATAATGCTTACAAGCGCATTATAAAGTGCAGGTTTCGGAATCGCTAATTTCAGGCTGAACCCAGCTGATGAGAGCTAATAGGCTCGAAACCGGTCCTGGG